TTTTTTGTATCGAAAAAATATCGAACCGTGACACCAAAGTATCGAACCGAACCGTGAATTTTGTGTATTGTTGCACCCCTAGTATATACATATATAACTGTTGCCTTAAGGCACATTATTTTGTAAGGCAGAGCCTACAATGTTACATTAAAAAGACTCCAACAATCACACTATCCCCTTTGAGCCAGCAAAAGTGGGAAGGAAAAACTGCCTTTTAACAGGTTGTTCTTTTCCTCCTTGGTGGTCAGCAGCCCTGCTCTTGTTAGTATTTGTTTCACTGAGATGTGTTCCCACCTGTATATTGGCCCTCTGTGCATATACAGTGTTACTGTCTTTCATCTGTCTGCTTACCTCTCACTCCTCGTGCTTCCTGTGCTCCTTTTGTGGTTTCCTGTTTTGTTTAACGTCTGGAATTCTGGGACTCTACAATCAGCCATTTACCAAAAAAAAGCTCATATTCTGTTTGTTTTGCCGTCTCCTGTGTCTTGTATTTCCGTCCAAAATCTACACTTGCACGATATGCTCTGGTACCAGTTTATTAGTCACTAGCTAAAACTGTATAAATATAGCCCAACTGTTAACACAGGAGACCTGCAGTAAATCCTGCCTTGATGACGGGTGTAATATACTGCTTTTGCTGAAACTAGGGAGGTATTTATTGAACTTTATTGCCGTTTTGGAAGCTCCATACATGACAGTGCAGTTCAGCACCACGGACTAAAGACTCCAGAATGACCATAAAGTAAAATCCACACCCCTGTAAAACAGTTTTGACAAAAAATAAACATGCTTACTTTCACAAGGGAACGATTCATTACAGCTTTGGAGTTTTTTTGCTTTTTAAATTTTGAGAGGTGTACCTAATAAACTGGCCACTGAGTGCAGCTGTTTTAATGTTTAATGATCTTTAGAGCCTTTCTCTCTCTCTCGGTAGAATAAAACAACGTCTGTAATAAGCAAGTAATTTACTCAGTACTAACCTATCACAGGCTGCGTTTGTGTCCTCATTAACTCCAAACACTGACATCTGTCCTGTTCCCTTTCTTGTTGGCTCTCATTTCTTCAGCCTTAAAGTTTCATCTGTTTGTTATTTATTACAAACAAGCGTCTGTAACTGGCTGCTCCAAATGTGCTCCATCTCGTAAAGTAGGTTTGAAACCAGTAATTTGGAGATATGAATGGCATTTCAAATACAGAAGGAATGAAATTCTCTTGGAGTAGATGGTTGACAGCTAATTATACCATCCTTGGATACCAGGCTGTTTCGTTTGTAGCCTTCATACAGGCAGCTTAGTATTATTGTATCGTGGCATTCTGGTGCCAGAGAGAAAAACAAATTAGCCTGTGAAAGTGGCCTTTGTTATACGGCTTTGTGCTTGCTCCTCTGGGGCTTTTGGCTCATTTCTGCATTTGGCATTGAAATTGTTGAGAAACAAATGATTGTGAGACACGCGACGTGCTTTGGAATAAGAGGATTTGACCGAGGGTTGAGTTATCGGTGGCGATGGCGGGTCTGTGAGCTTTGCAGTCTGGGGGTAGGGCTGTATGTGTGTGCATGTGAATGTGTATATATATGTATATGAAGTGAAATGATTTGTGGTCTGATGGTGCTGCCTGGTTTTTTTTAATGGGCTTTTTAAAAAAAGTTTTTATAGGAGATGTGGTTCTAAATGCCTTTTTCTCTGCGACAGGTATGCCTTTGGTCGTCAGTCTGACTCCCGACAGGTAACCAGGTGTGTTGCTGCTCTCATGGCTTTGACAACCCTGCGAGTGTTCCCTGTCGCTGTGGTCACCATCCTGGCAGTGCTGGCGTCGTCTGCAGAGGAGCATGAGTGGCACTTTGATCCAGGTGGGATGTCATCTATACATGTGTAGAGCAGAAAACATCGTGTCCTCAGTTTGAATTTGTTTTTGTTTGTGTCCTACTTTGTCCCCCAAACTCAGACATGATTGCATTTTCAAACCTGTTACCCTCTTCCTCTCCTTGGGCACAGCAAACGCCTTCCCCGCTGCTCTGAAATTCTCCTCACATTCTCAGATCAGTCAGCCTCATTCTCCATCCACTATCAACAGGCTATCCTGTGTCCTCTCCCTGTCTGCCAGCCAGTTGTTTGAAACAGGAGAATAAGATAGCTAGGCAACCCCCCACCCCCCACCGCAACCGCCAGCTTGTCAAGACCGCTAATGCACAAGCAGATCGTGAAAGTGTCAATCAAAATGTCGGAGAAGGGAATGCATGAGGAGTTAGTGAATGTGTGCCAGCCAGGTGTAACCAGAGGAGAGTGTCTGCAGGGCGGCCAAACTTTGGACCGGAGCAGCTGGTCTGTGAATAGGAGAAAATCTGTAACTGTCATTACTGTCTTAATTATACATTTAGTATTTGTTTAATTCATTAATTATTCTTGAAATGATCTCCCTGCTGCCAGCATGTGACATTTAAGCAATATTTAAGCTGATATAAAACAAAAAAACCCAGCAAACATTTGAGTAGATTTATGAGTTTTTGCATGAAGTTGCCTAAGGTGTACCCAAAGTACAACTGAAACAAGTAGTCGGAATTATTAAACATGATATTTGCATGGGCGGTATCTTGATTAGCATTGCTCTGGATAGCAAAACATACTCTAGCTGTGCTGTTCTGTCCTGGACAGTCTTTTGGTGCCAGAAGATTTAAATCTGTGGTGGACCTGATTGGATGCAGGTAAACAGTCCACATAGTTTTTAGTTTTTTTTGTTAAGTATCTGTGTTCATAAGAAATCACCGGTGCAGGGGAAAGGAAATCTTGGCCCAGATATCTGCTGGCTTCACTGAAAGTAAAAATCAGGTGAGATGACTAGCCAATGAGTTCCCAGATTTTGTTTGTCCAATGCTTTAATTGCATGATTACCAGACACCTGAAAAACTGAGAATATCTCCAACATCCTGTAAAATTAAGAAATTGTAACAAACAACTTCAACTAAAACAGAGAAGGGTAAAGAGAGTAAAGTTTGTGGCAATTGCTTCGTTAAGTTTTTTGGTGCAGGCTTTGAAATAAAGTGCACATCTTACCAGTGGAGTACCAGAGACCCAAAATAGAATTGAACAGGTAATGGCTAACAGTAACACAGCCAGTGTGAGTCCTTGAAAGGCCTGATGGTGTTTTTGATAAACTGAATATTTGATTTTAGTCATTTGTGTCTGCATCTCCTGCACTGACTGCTTTTTAGCTTTCAAATCCCATTAGACAATGGTTTTTTTTTCCCTTGGCTTTTTTTTAAGGGTTGGCTTAATTCCCCGGGGCTTACTCGCTGATTTGTGATGTCTCGTTTAGAAGCTTTGGCTGGAGCCATCTTACTTTTGTGAAACCATACATCTCAAGGATGGACATATGCTTTATATGGTCAATTTACTCCTCGTGGGTGTGTAACTCACAAAACAAACACATTGTTTTATTTAAGAACAAAAGACTTAAAACAAGCTATTAAGATCATCTGAAAATATTCGCTAACAGTCTTTTTTCATCATAATAATAATAATAATAATAATAATAATAATAATAATAATAATAATGGATTGCATTTATATAGCGCTTTTTCGGGACCCCTCAAAGCGCTTTACAATGAACAGAGGAGTCTCCGTCCCCTGTTGCCAATGTTTCTTCCATCTTTTATGTACATATTTTTATAAATATATCCTTTTCTTCTTGATCTTACGTTTTCTTGAGCTCTCGGTTGAAGTTTAGCTGCTGGTAGACGGCGATAGACCACGATCAGGGCAAACATTGTTCTCTGAAAGTAAAGATTCTTTTCCAAACAGTTTTCAAGAAAGACTTCTCTGATGGTCTCTGACACATAAGATTAAGCTCGTTCTGGTTGTGCTTCTCTTTTTATTATTTAACTGACAGAAAAAATTATATAGTAAAAACTGAAGAGGAGTGATTGGTATTGGAAAAAGGTTATTATTTACAGCTCTAATTAAAAAAATTGTTTTGGGAGGAGTAATCGCCTGTTAAATGACTGTTTGATTTATTACTTAATCATATCCGTGAATCTAGATAAATTAACAGGCTGTGTAGTGCAATAGAGACGCTCGCATTTTGTCTTGTTGAAATGATTAAATCAAGCTTGGCAGTGTGAGCAGCAAGGTTTGGTGCATGCGCTAAAGTTTAATGTAAGATGACAGACAGAGAAAGTGAAGCCAGAGGACACAGCGGGGCAGAGACGAGAGAGCGAGAGGTGAAAAGACTGCAGATGGCGGGCTGTTGACTGGCGATGTGGTATAATGATGATGATGTAATGAAATGGGCACCTGTCCTCAGGGTGTGGATGAATTGTGTGTGTGTGTGTGTGTTGCGTCCGTTGGGAGGTTTTAGGGTTTGTCATGCGGCCCGACATTCCTGTTCACTGAGTCAATGACAGAAACTGAGTTAGACGCCCACCCAACCCCCGCCTCTTTATGTCACCCTCAGCCAACCCTGCATATCGCTGTCAGTAACCTCTTTCCACTTTATCACTGCCCAACACTCCCGCAGCCTCTCACCCCCTCACCTCGTCCTCAGATAGCGCCATCGTTGGGTAATCCCTGCCTGGGACCGCGCTATCTGGATCGGTTGATAATGCTGCCGCTGGAGCAGAGCCGGTGCAGATATCTGAGACCTGTCTGTGTTCATTCCATCGCCCTTAGTTTCTTTCTCGCTTTAGTTCTCTCTCTGCAAATGCCCAACAGAAACGGGATCACTGGAGCCCTAAGGAGGTGGCTTTGTGCGAGCTGGAGAGCTGCATGGAAAGACAAAAGGGACTGAAGAAATGGGAAAGGTGTATTCTCAGAGATGACAGGTCACAGTATTTCACAGCGGGTGGCCTCATAAGCTGTGAGCATAAACTTGGAGGTGCATACGGGTATTACTGGCAGTCCGTCTAATGAAGTCACTTGTGACTAGTGAGAGACGTATTACCGGAATAAGTGACAGTGACATTACGCATTGCATGAACAGTACCAACGGACATTAAAGCAAATAAAAGCAAAGGTAGGAGCGTTACATTTTTCCCCTTCCACTCACTGTCTGTGTGAGTTATGAAGCATAAAGTCCGGAACTTTTCCCAGAAATGACATAACAACATTATGCTCCGTGACCAATGATGGCCACTCATTCTCTAATGGAAATATTAAATTTCCCCTGGACATGTGCTCCACACGGAGGAGAATTTTTCTCATATCTTTATCCGGCCTCTGTCTTCCTCTCCTTCTCTGTCTCTATCTCCCTCAACCCTTCCCTTACAGCTCAGTGTCGTTACGCCCTGGGGATGGAGGATGGCACCATCCCAGATTCTGACATCACTGCCTCCAGCGCCTGGTCAGACTCCACAGAGGCCAAACATGGAAGGTGGGAAGTGTGTGTCTGTGTGTTTGTTGTACCTGGAGTTCAAAGGTTACTCTCAAATACCTAAGCACATTTCCACAAACACAAACTTTTGTCTAAAATCTGTAGTTCTTCTTCCGCTTATGCTACAGTCACAACAAAAGTGATCTTTTTGCCTTTTAAATGGTTACTCTGAAGATGGCCGCAGTCAGCTGAGAGAGCAATAAAACAGCAATAAGATGAACTCAATGTGCAGCTGAAGGTGATCAAATCTGTTGCAATCTACAGAGACAGAAATTCACAATACCTGTTTAGATTCAGAGTCGAGCCAGAACCTCAAAGAAAATGCAAAATGGACATCAGTCACCAGTATACAACCAGTTGGCAACCAGTTGCACTGAGTAACAGTAAGAGACATATTGCAGATGAGTTTCTGACTTGGATTGATTACAGTGTGTTGAATATGTTTGCATTTATGAATTAGATGTAAGTTACTTTCAAACCTTTGCCAGTCTTTCTGACGTTCTGACTGCAATTGTTTGGAGACAGGTTGCCTCCCACCATGCAACCTGTGCAACTGCCTTGTGATTGAAAGCTGGTCGCCACAACCACCTGCAGTCACCAGACATCTACAGACTTTTCCAAGTTGCAAGCAGGTTGCCATCCCGTTTTTAAAGAAGAGTTTTTGAAGAGTTACGCTTGAATTCTGCTTCAGCAAGAAATCCACTTCATGACTTGATGATGTAACCGGAAACCCCTCTAACCCCACGTTGTAACCTCCAATGTCAGTCAGACTCAGTGAGGGCTGCATCGACCCAAGATGAGTTACGTTTCTCTAAAAAGGTGCATGCCGGGTTACGTGGAAAGTTATAACGCAGGGTTAAGAGCGGTTTCTGGTTACGACGGCTGAAAAACAGTTTTCAACAGCAGTGATGTCACCGTGCACCAACACACACACCGTTGGGTTCACATCTGCATCAGAGCAACTAAGTGAAGGTTTCAGGGGATGATAAATTGCTTGCTTTTTGTCCAAGTGCTATACTCTGTTACTATTAGAAAGTAAAAAATGGCAGATTTACAAGGTTTTTTAGGACGGCAGCAGCGACTCGACTTATTTTGGATGTGTGCTGTACAGTAATTAAATTCAGAAGTTCTTTTCCTATTATTCCTGGCTGTCACCGCTTTGATGTGGTGAGATAATACAGCTCAGACAGCAGACATCACCATGCAGTGAAAGTGTAACAGTGACAAAATGAATACAGACTTGATGTTCGCTGTGACGGATTACGTAACTCGAATAACTTCTCAGAGCGTGCGATTTGATTTTCACACCGTATTGAGATCAAAAAGAACAATTAGACGCCTGGAGAAGTAGGGAAAAAATGCTAAAGGATGGTTTGAGAGCAGAATGATTAGGGTTGATGTGAGGTGTAATGGATTGACGCACGCAAAACCACAGGTGTGGTGCTTCTAAAATTGGGTTGCTTTTTCTTTCCAAGCCAGCCACGGGAGAAAGCTTCTTATAAAGAAAACATAATCACCTCTTTGAATAGCAGCACTGACTGGGATCTCAGCTGGTTTCTACTTGATAGGGCGGATTTAATAGCCTGGTAGCGCCCGTCTGAATTGCCGCCCACATTTCTGATTTGTTCAGCGAATCGTATACAGAGTCTTTAAGTGCAGCAAAATGGTAATTGGGCCCAATTATCAGGCTTCGTTATCATCTCTTTCAGGAGTCAAGATGTCACGCTGGCCACTTGTCATACTCTGTAAAAGAGCTGCTGTTGTATTTAAACTTGCTGAGCAAAATTGAAGCGATCTCTCTTCCACAGGAATGAGATATTCCAGTGCTCATGCCAGGCTGATGTGCGGTCTTATTTTCAGTCTGTTGGCACCGTGCTAAAGTAATTTTTAGCAGGTTTATTAGATTAAGGTGGAAGATGATAGTTTGTGTGTGTCTTCTTAAAACCTACTTGGTAATTAGATCACCACCTTATCTGTCTGGCTGTAAGGTCTGCAACATGTTACCGCCACGTGTAATCTGTGGGATTGTGCATGTGTGTGTTTGGGTTCACTTGCCTCCATCAGCTTGCTGGGTTGGGTCTCTTGGCAGAGCGTCTAACCATGTGGAAATGATTATTAGTGCAGCCTCTTTTTAAGGCACATCAGGGAGATCCAAAAAGAGAGAAAACAGAGAGAGCAGCGGACATGAAGATTTAAAAAAATAAATAAATAAAATAAGTGTGAGGTGGATCGCTGCAATGGCGTGCTGAAAGGTAGGGGGGAAATTAATCTGAAAGCAGGGTTTTTGAGGGAGGGTGGTGTGTGGAGGGAGAGATGCAGAGCTGGTAGGTGATTACTCTTGGCCAGTGGAATACCAGCTTATTGGTTGGAGTGAGAGAGGAAATGATGGAGGGAATGAGTGAGCTGTGAACAATGGGAGACGAATGAAGAGTTGGCTGGTATTTAGGGAGGAATCAAAAGACAGACACACAGTGAGACGGGAGAAAAATGAGTTACTTGGCAGAGCGCTGTTCTGTAATGTTATCCATGCTGGCTGGTGCACGCTAGCTCTCCCTCCTCATCCTCTCTCCATTAGAGGACACTTGGTGGAGCCCTAATGTGTTGATATCATCTTGTGGTTCCCAGCAGCATGATCTCACCCGCTGAGGGGAGAACGGGAGTGATTAAAGTCCAAGCATGGCTGTCAGTGCGACCGAGTTGATCCAGTGATTTGTTTTGGTGGTCTGAGCAGCAGCTTTCATTTTGAGAGAAGCCCCACGGTGGTCAGAGCGCGGTTGTGGCCTGGCGTCTGTTCCAAAGCTCCTCGGTACGAGTCGGAGTCGCACACAGCCAAATTTGTGGTCGTCGTGCGGCTGCTCCGCGGTGCTGCTATGAACTTTTCTTCTCAGGGTTAGGGTTTGGGCTGAGTGAAAACCTTTGGTGCGTGTGTGGTCGTGGCAGGCCTGCGAGCAAAGATTGGTCCTGACGCTCGACACCACACAGATCTTGTTGTGAGGTTTGAAGAATGTGGAGGAGCCGGTAATTTTCACTCTGCTCCTTTCATCTCGTTTCCTCTCTTCATGAGCCGCTTGTGTTCTCTGCTTTTTCCATGAGGTTGGTTAACTAAACTAAACGGAGTGCGCAAAAACATTTCAAGATAAAAACTAGACTTTTGAAAACTGAAACCACATTCTAGACAAATAAACAAACTCTAATGCAAAATACATAAATATATATGCATATAAAAACTATATATAAAAACTGAAACCAACATTTTTAAACACTGAAAGCAGGAAATTCACTCTGGACCCTAAAGTGAAATTAAAAACAGATTCAACATCAACTAAAAATAAATATACAGTAATAACAGGGCTCTGCAGGTTTTCTCAGTCTCTCTGTCTTGAGCCATTTCCAGTTTTTATGCATCTTTCTCTCTTTTTCAGAGAGTGTTGTCATATTTATATGTGAATGTTTGGCTGCTGTAAAATCCAATTTGTGCTGGTGGAGGACTGGACTGTTTGTGCTGAATTCTCACTTGTACCTCTGCACACTGCCGGCACTCGGGGATTTGATGCAGTCTGCTGGTAGTCATGTTTCTATCTGCGTGCGAGTGTTTGCGTGTGGGACTGGGATTTCATGAGCTTACGATTTGTGTTTTCGCTTTAAACAACTTGCAGTTTGTTTTCCTTTACTGTTATCTGACATTATCATCTCTCTCTATCTCCGTCTCTTTCTCAGGTTGAGTACTGGAGAGGGGGACGGAGCGTGGTGTCCATTAGGATCCGTGTTCCCCAGCGGATCAGAGTACCTTCAGGTGGGATGCTCATCTTTTTCTGCTCTGATATGCAGGTGCACTTATTGCTCAGTACGGCTGCTGGTTTGGTGAAAGGTATTGATTGATATTTAATGATTAACAAGGTGTGAGTGCATTTGTAACCGTTATAAAAGTCTGTTCAATAATTCAGACAGATTTTTACTTTGAGGTGGTTTTACAGAAGCTATAAGGTTTCGTTGGGCATAATAATAAAGTGCAAATATACTGTTTAAACATTTAGGAAAAAAAATGTGGAGTCTGCGTTTTCTCCTTGTGCATGTGCGGTTTTTTTCTTCTTCCAGGAACTCTGGTTTCCTCCCACAGCTACAAACATGAATGAATGTGAATGCGAAGGTTGCCTTTCTCTCTGTGTTAGTCCCTGTGATGGACTGGTGATTCGTCCGGGCCATACACAGCATCTCACCCATCACAGTTAGGATAGACTCCAAAGGTTAAGAAATCGGGTGGATGGATGTTTGTTACAGTTGTGCAAAAAGTGCAACAAAGATAGGATTTTATTTTGCCAGTCGTTGTGTTTGTTACCTCTGGGCAGAAGCCGGGTCGCTGTTTTCCTTTTTCTTCTCCTAATGCATGCGTGTGTCACTCCCAGCTTTTAGTAGATACTGAAAGACGGATAAGGTCTCTTTATGCTCTTCATGAGTTCTCCTTTCTATCTTTAAAAATCATTGAAATTGTAGTGGTGAAGAAGCTCTTAACTGTAATCCTACAAGAACACGTATTTGTCAGTCTAGACCGCGCTAATCATCTTTTCTCTACATCAAGGTCATCGATATCCTCCCAAATCAGCTCTTTGCATTCTGAGCACACACTTTTTACACTATCGTAAGCATATGAAAATAAGTCCTAAAATATATTGAAATTGAACAATATGAGTAAATGTAGGTGAGTTTGGAAGCATCCCAGTACTTTTAAATCTTGTTGGCATTTCCAGCTTTCTGAGTGACATACGTTATGATCATCTGTCATCTGTAGATTGACCTGCGCAGACTCCACTTCCTGGCTCTGGTCGGCACTCAAGGTCGCCACGCTGATGGGCACGGTCAGGAATTTGCACGCAGTTACCGGCTCCGCTATTCCCGAGATGGAGAGAAATGGATCACCTGGAAGGACCGCTGGGGCCAAGATGTAAGTGGGATTTTTCTCACGTCCTCGCCTTGATTACAGATGAACTGGATCTCTCTGTTTCTGTCACGCCTGGTAAACAAATGGAGCGAAATAACAGTTTGAATGTCATTAAATGAGCAAGTGGGGTGTCAACACAAGAAACATACTGCTGAGGGCGACTCCATTATTGATAGGATACGACTTAATATCCTGGGGCTGTTGAGTATAAATGAAGTGTTAATCACAGCTATCTGTATAATTCATTTGCATTTGATTTACTTATTATTCATTGTGAAGTTGAGCAGTTTGGAACTAAGCCAAGCTTCCGGCTGAACAATGCAACGAATGCATGTGCAGAGTTTATATTCTTTTAAAGCCTCTATTATTGCATCTGTTGAATATTTGATTTGGTGATACATGGTACTCTGTGTTTTGTACCACTCTTACATGGCAGCTTGGGAAATACAAACTCCGACAACAAAATGTTTAAGGAAGGTTACACTGTTTGGCTCTCACTTGCATTTATTATTCTGGACCTTATATTGACACACAACAAATATTGAGAAACTGCAAACCGAAGTAATTTTTTTGCGTTAATGTGTTTCATCTAAAAACAGCCTGCGGCTCTAACCTCTCAAATCAATCATTCTTTGCACCTTTATGTATTAAAGAAAAAGTTCAGTCTGTTCATTTCAGCTCCTCTTGGATTAACAAATTCAGAAAATGCACTCTGAATAAAATCTGGGCGCCTTGTGTGTGGATTTATTCAACCTTACAGTTATTAGCAGAGGCGAACAACATGCTGTGTGGTTGAATATTTGAACTGCTCTCCCCTAGGTGGTGTCTGGTAATGAGAACACCTATGATGTTGTGCTGAAAGACCTCGGACCTCCCATTGTGGCTCGCATGGTGCGATTCTACCCCCTCGCCGACCGGGTTATGAGCGTTTGTCTTCGGGTGGAGCTCTATGGCTGCCTTTGGAACGGTGAGTGTGTATGAGCGTGGATTTGATGGACAACGTCCCCGATTTTACGAACACTCGTTTTGTCTGTGCTAGGCGATGCGTGCCCTCCAGTTTAGATAAAATATTTCATATGGTGAAGATGGCTTAGCTGGCTGTCGTCCCAGATTTGATCCTGTATCAGATGGTAATGATCACAAGTGTGTGGGTTGTTTTTTTTCCATGCATTCCATACATCGAATTGAGGCATTCAAATTTACAGCCTTTGTGGGATTTGGCCAAATAAAAGAAGCCCCATATTGATGAATGGTGTTGGTCTCCATGTTTGCTGAAGCACAACACTGACTCACTGAGTATTTATGTCTCCTATCCTGCCCCACCCACCTCCCTCAGACGCTCACTGGGTTGTCAGTAAATCACAACTGCCACTGGCACTAAAAGACCAGTTCCCGGTCTGTGTCTTCAGGGACACCATCCCTCTGAAATATGCTTGAATGTGGCTTTCGGCTCTTTTCCCTTTTCGTTTTTCCTACGGGCTGGAGATTATGCAGAATCTACACAATGTGATGCTGCCTCTCTAAAGTCTGATATGGAATGAAATAAAAGGTCAAATTGCACATATTTGACCTTTTATTTCATTCCATATCAGATTTTAGAGAGGCAGCACAATGTCACCCCATTATTATTCCTTAGCTTTAACTTTGGACCTGCTTGGCTCTCAAGCACTCGCACACCGGTACCTGCAAATACTCACATCTAAAGACACATGTTTATGTGCAATCAGGGTGTGCTGCACATATGTTATGTGAAGAATTGTGTTTATTTTGGGTAGCAAAGCACCGGGCTGGAGTCAGCGTTACTGACGTCACCTCTGTTCTCAGGGAGTGGGCTGATTAGGTGTACATTAGAGGCAAGGAGGCTCGAGTTCCGCTGGTGGATGGTGACTGGGCCAAGCAGGCCCGAGAAGCTGGCCTTTTAGTTTGTTTTACTGCTTGAAATCCAGCTGTAGCAGTTCTTCCCTGCAGCTGGGATTTCTGTTGGCTCTGTACATGTTGAACTACTCACAATGAAAACGGGAAAAAAAATGCTTGTTTCAAGGACCTCTCGACTAATATTTCTTCCCGTCTTGCCGTGTTTCAGATGGGTTGAAGGCTTACACAGCTCCAGTGGGTCATGTCATGCAGCTGCCCGGCATGTCTGTGTATCTCAACGACTCCACCTATGATGGGAGCACGGAACAAGGGTAAGACGTACATCTGCTCCGAGCATCTTTTCCATTTTCATTTTTATGCACAAGTATGCTGGATTTCCATAAACGCCTGGATTTCGCTTTAATGGAAATGTGCAGGCATGGCCTCGTTTATAAATCACGGCACTGCAGCGGCAAATGTGAAATATGATCATGATAACAATTCACACCACATTAGTGACAGCCAGAAATGTGGGGTGAAGCGCTATCATGATGATATTTGTGGCTTCATCAATGGAGTAACAAAAACTGTGCTTATCACATCTGCTAGCTCTGAAGCCAAATCCTCTCATGAGGTTTATCCAGTCGGCCTAATCGAAAGGGAATGACATTATTTTCTTTAGTTGTTCGGGGATTTGAGGCATGTTTCCTGGCCGTGAGGTTTTTGGTAGGGAGCCATGGAGGGGGGGAAATGGGGGTGGTGTCCACCCTTGCGTGGGCTGTGCGCTTAATGGGGCTGAAATGTTTTGTTAGCCAGTGATGTAGCACTTTTGATGTAATCCAGACGCTCCCGTAGCAAAACGCACGGGCGAGGGCTCATATGGTCGGCAGTGGGGGGAACTGTTTGGGGATCCAGTTCTGTTGCTTAGTGTTTGCTGTTTGCTGAGGTGTGTGTTTGTAGGGGGAAAACGAAGTGGGGTTAAGGTTTGTGTTTGAACTTGTGTTAGTGTGTGTGCATCCTCGTGCACACAGCTTTATTTCTGCTTTAAATGGTAAATGTACGGGTCCTTACAAAGCACTTTCTTTTCTTACTGAGCTCTAAAAGCCACACTCAGACACACAATTGGTGCTTTATTCTGTGCCTTTATACACTTTTTCTCTCTCTTTTTTTTTTTTTTTTCTTTTAACCTCTGGTGCGCACAAAAGCCAATTTGGGGTTCAGTAGCAATGCAATAAGTGCCCGAGGACACTTCAACACTTTGCACTACCTCTTTAGCTACAGCTACCTGTTGCTTGTTTGTGTGCAGGATACAGTTTGGAGGGCTTGGTCAGCTGTGTGACGGTGTCCTGGGAGGAGACGACTTTACAAAGACTAAGGAGTTGAGGGTGTGGCCTGGGTATGACTACCTGGGCTGGAGCCGGGAATCCCTCGGGCAAGGCAGCGTGGATATTGAGTTCCACTTTGAGAAACCACGAGTCTTCCACCACATGCAGGTAGGCACTCGAAGTTGTGCTTGTGTGCAGTAGTGCGTGTATAAATCTGTGCAGGGCGTTGTTACCTCTGCAGATAGTGTAAATCAGAGATGCCGTTGCGGCTAAAAGCGATAGTCAATGGTCTGTGCCTTGGAGGAGATCCACCTTGTGAGAATGATCATCTTTAGAAATCGTCACTCATTTTATCGCAAACCAGTTTTTCATGTGTTTAGATAATCTCAGATCAGGTCACATTTCAGTGCATTTCCTGTGTTTTTGTTTTGGGTGAATGGTTAAGAGGACATGGCAGGACTTTGTTCATGGAGATGTGAAACTGCCATAGTAAATGAAAGAAAGAGTCGGTAAATATCATTAAAATCTACATTTTTACAGTTTAAAATTGAACATAGACCTTGATTTATTAAAGAAAATGTGGCATAAATGGTTTCCATTTACTTCCTCCTGCTCTCCCCTGTTTATTCACACGTCCATGTATTAATATTAATTTAAGAAATACTCATTTATTTATGGATTTATTTCTGTATTGTTTTTTCTTTTCGTGTATTCCCGCTGGTAGAAAACGAATAGCTTTGTTCTGGCTGGTGCAGTTACACTTTGAATAATCCCCCCTTTATAAGCAGAAATGCATAAAGAACGAACACAAAAATAAATACATTTTGGGGAATAAATATGAGGGAAAATACAAAGGAAAAATCATACGTGTATAAACAGGGCAATCAGTACCAGGAGGGAAAGGAACACAGGAGCTTATTAAAACTGAGATTTCTCTCTATATATAACAGTTAAATTGATTGGTGCATTTAAGATCATATAAATGTATTTATGTAGTTGATATTTATTTTTTTGGCAGTTAAACCCTCCACAGTTTCCATCCAACAGGAGTGTCTTTGTCTGTGTGATACATTTCAAAGCACGGCTCAGTAAATGGGGCGTCTTTGATGCATATCGTCCTTTTCAGCTTAAAATGAAGATCTTTTTTTCTAACTGTCTGCCAAAAAAACCCTCCAAAACAACTTAAGTTGAGAAAACCAGACAGCAGTCGAATCAAACTTTCTTTTTTATGGGCTACAGTCTGAACGTTCGAAGCACCTCGATGCGTCCAGCTTCTCGAAGGCACAAAAATGTTAACTTTTGTTAACTGCTCTGTGTCTGTCTTCCTGTCTTCCTGTGTTATGAACAGGCCATTGACTTGACAAAGAAGTATTTGTAATTAATACATTGTTTTGGTTGATTAATTATCTCATTAGCCCAAAACAATCATGTCCCATTTCTCCATCTGATGAAACTGCTTAGAAATTCCTTTGTCTCCAAGCAGCTCGGGCCCTAAAACGAACTCCATCAGCACCGTTATGTGTCTGCGTGTCTCTCTTTTTAAACAGCACTAAGTTCCTTTATCTGCAGCGTCAGGAAGCAACATTTTTACTGGAATAGCTCTGCAGCCATTTAATTAGTTTGAATGTGCCATTGTTTATGATGGGACAGTGCATCAGTGCTCGTCTCTCTGGGAGCCACCAAATTGCATCACAGTCTGTTTGTGCGTCTGTGCGGCTTTTGGGGTTAGTTTGTGGAGCAATGAGGGGGATAATGGTGTGAAGCAACCCAGTTTGAATTATAACTGTGTTGTCTCATTGGACGCGGACTGGAATGTCGGTTTGGGTGAGAAGCACCATATACATCTCTGTGGATTGAACAGCCTGCATGCCTTAAAAAGGGCACAAGTAATTACTCTAAAATCTCCTGACAGTGACTGAACATTTTTTGAATCTTTATTTTCTTTTTCCACGTGTTTTTCCACAGTTTACCTCTGTTACCTTTTAAAAATCTCTCCCAGCGGTATTCGTGGTGTTTTTCCTACGCTTATCCTGTTTTTCTTGCCTTTTCCCCAGTCGTTTTCATACACTAACCTCAACTGACACGCAGCGTTACACTAGCCTGCCCGAGCGGATATGTCAGACACACAGGTCAAATAAACAAGGAGAGGGAACCTGAACCTGATTCTGGCTTGACTCGTCTCTGAAGACCGCACTTCCTCAAACTGTGTTTAGTAAGAGAAATCTGCCCTTTGACATTTTGTCAGCCATAACCTGCACTTCTTACACATTTTCTAAAGTTTCTGTTCTGTTCTTTGGGCCTTTTTGTCCAAGATTTTTGCCCGTGCATGTGGACGTAGACAAATATATCCCTTGATTTCTTAACGTGTGTCTTACATTAAGCTTTTGCAGCTGCATTCCCTGAAGGAGTAGTAAATTTCCTTATTTCTGTTGACTTATCAGAGCTCTACCTCTACCACCAGCTTCCAGTGCATACCCACACACCCCATTCTGTCCCCTTTCCAAACAGAAACACTTGCACGCCGTGTGTGTGTGAGAGAGACTTAACACGTGGATTAGGTTAGAGCAGCTGGCCTTTCAGTGTGTAAGGTTTACAGCTAACCTGTCAGAACAGCCTCTGCTCTCTAAGAGAGGATTTTTTTTCTATCTCGTTCTTAATTTTCAGTCTCTTAGATCTATACTTTTGACCTCAATTGACCAACCTCCATCTTCCCCCACATCCTCGTCTCTTCTTGTCAAGCTCCTCTTTCCGCTTCCAGCCACAACGACTCCTCGTATATTAATTCAGCTTTTATGGATTCTTCCGTCTTTGGCCTTTCCCTGCTTGTAAAACAGAGAAGATATATCCTCTATTCTCTTCTCTTTTGTCATACACTTTCTTTTCTTCTACCCTCCTTCTCTCCTCCTGTGTTCTAATTTTGTTAATTTGCAGCCCGGCTCTGCTCTAAGTCGTGCCAAAGCAATTATGGCTCAACAGAAAGAGAATGTGTCATTAATTTTGTGCGTTAATTTAATCTCTTCCTGCCTTTCCGCGGATAATGAATGACAAAGGTCTAAAGGTTTTCCAGATATTTCCATGAGCTATAGGTAGTGAAAAGATTTTGTAACTGATTGCAACTTTTTCTTTCTTTTTTTGCTTCTCTGCACTCACACAATTTTCTCCTTCCTCTAGGTGCACAGTAATAACCGTCACACACAGGGTGTCAGAGTTTTCAGCAAAGTGGAGTGCCTTTTTAAGCCTGGCATCCTCCAGCCATGGTCCTCTCCTGCCCTCACCTTGCCTGTGCCCCTCGAGGATCTAAAAGACCCCTCGTCACGACCCATCTCTCTCCCACTGGGCGGCCGGCCGGCTCAGATCCTCCGCTGCAAATTCTACTTTGCCGACCGTTGGCTGCTCATCAGCGAGATATCTTTCCTCTCTGGTAGGAAACAGAATTGAGTTTGTCCATTTTTTTCATCTGTGAGATGTGTATTTTAGCCACTCTGGCAGGCGGTTATTGCTTCTATAGACGCTAGGCGCTTACGTCACACATATCCTAGCAACTTGCACTATCGTGGAAGTCAAGCTGAGATTTGGCTTTGTCTAGGGAAAGGCTAAATATAGATGGCACCAAAACAAAAAGCCAAAAAATACCGACCTGTGAGAGATTGGATTTTTATCCATGCTACAGCAATCAGCTTTCCTCAGGTGTTCAGTGTAAAATTTAAGTAAAGCTGAGCTGCTGTGGCTTTTAGAGTGAAGCTTTCAGCCTTTTAACTGATCAACATGATCAGCATTTGAGAGTCCTCTTTTGGACATGAACAGAAAAATCATGCTATTCTCTGAGACATTATCAGTACTTTCCTATTCAGAATTTTAAAAACCCAAAGCAGCCCATCTGTGAACATAATTAGCGTTAGTTCTTTTCTACCTGATCTAAAACACTCTTTTTAAAAAAGTGACTATTTTCCCCTCCATCTGTTGTCTTCATTATCTGTGTCTAGGTTCCAACAATCAGGCGCAGCATGAAGGCGAACAGAGAAAGATGAGTTTCATGCCTATCTGAGTCAAAGTCGGATAGAGGACTCCTCTGCTCTCAGCTTCAGATTACTGTGACTAATTAAGCTGTCTTTTCTAGTTAAAAACACTGTCAGGTGTAGTTGGATAAGAATCAGCCGAGTTATCTCACCAAACTCAGGTGGCTCAGATCAGTGGACCCAGCAGTGGCCTGACACGTCTTGCTGCTGGACTCGAGCCAGACTGGTGATAAATGACCAAATGAGGTTTGGTTCAAACGTCTGACACGTAAAGAAAGGTCGCACGAAGTCTGTAACGGACTTTATTCACAAAACTACCGACAAATGCAGCTGTATGCTGTGTTAGTTCGAGCTGGCTCACATCTGGCATCACAAAGCGGTCGGCCTGGTTGATAACCTGTTACTCAACTATCCACCGGGCTAGCATTGCTGGCTTAGAGGTAATTTCAGAGTCAGATGTTCCTTACACCCTCTAATCACGTATGTCTACAGTCTATCTCTCACATTAGGGGGACCATATAAACATTCGGCGCTCATTCATTCTGCATTCAGCAGCTGAGAGTATGCTCAGAGCTCCTCTGCTGTCAACTTTCACAAACCGAACTCCTTCCAGCTCCCCGGTCGACTCCTGCATTAACATTTAGTCATACGTGAGCTACAAGACCGAGATGCTGGCTGTGTTGTGCAAACAAAGCAGAGTATGTTATTTGATTACCTGCCGAGGGTTAGTGAGCTAACACAATCAGTCATGCTAATCGATAAGGAAAGGATCAGTTCCCAGTCAAAAACAAGGTAATTAAATCCAATGAAATGAATTGGCTTTCTCTGGAATAACAACCAGCTGTGACCACAGTCACTGTTTCCTCACAGCTGAGGGCTACCAGAAGGTGTGCTGCGTCACACAAAACCCTCTAAACACATAAAACATGATTTATTTTCATTAAATTGACTTCTCCCCCTCCCCTCTGTCTCTTTTTGGTTATTCAGAGCCGTTTGAGGAGGATGTCACAGACACTGATTTATTTCCTCCAAATATTCCCAAGATTCCTGGCACCAAATCATCTCCTCCTCCTGTTAATGTCACCTCCTCTGCTCCCACATCGAGCCGCGGTGCCTTCAATTCCACTACCGGGCCTACTGGTGAGTCCTGCGCTTCCCCTCTATCCCTCTGCTCATCACCCCAACATTTATCTCCCCTCTCACTCTTTCCACTTACCATTCCTTCTCTGTTGTCTCCTTTTATCACCTGCCGTGCTCTTTCATTTACCCCTCCGTGGTCCATGCTGCGCTCTACCACATCTCTAATTCCCCTGATCTCTCTATCATCTCCTATCTCTTATTTTCCAGTTGCCATGAGTGTAAGCATGTCGGCAGTGCATCTGTGTCATGCGTATGAAGCAGATCCAGAGGCATGCAGCGCCAAAGGAGGCACGTGTTTGACTGGCCTCTGTCGTCATCACGAGCTCTGAAATTTCTTTGCCTGAACCTCTGTGCCCGATCCTTATCTAACACAGTGTGTTGTATTTAAAGGAGAAATCAGGCTTAAAATTAAAGGTCAATTGTTTCATTATGGGTTTTTTTTAATAACTTTAAAGATTGCTGTATCGGAGTAAAAGAAAAAAGGCAGAATTCTGCTTTCCAGGACTTTTTTTCCTCTGCTCATCACTCTCTTCTGAGTCTCCATCACTTTTCTTCTCATGCCTTCCTCCTTTGTCCATCCCTCGCTCCTCCAGAACCCCCCACCACCACCACCACCGCTGTCATGATGGACACCACTGGTAACTGGACGCTTTCAGGTGAGAGGAAAAAAAGAGAAGAGGGGACGATCAGAGGGGTGGGGAAGCTAACTCCATCCACTCTGGCCCTCCTCCAACATCTTAAAACTGTCCCATTGCTCGGTAGAGAGTATGAAGTATAATGGGAGAAGGATTACAGGGGCAGTCTTTGGCACCGGGCTCTCTCCCCTGGGTTTGAAGATATACAGCTGGAGGAGAAAACACTAACCGAGCTATAGTAAAATTTATTTATGTATGAATAACAACTGGGCTTCCTGTGGTCTCACAAACTGCATGTTTTTCGGGAACTGGCTCTAGTCTCCACAGCTAAACAATAACAGGCTTTTTAGAAAGCTGGAAATGGTTTTCTGTGGCGTGTATGCTGCTTTGTCCTCGTTACTGGCTGCGGTTGAAGGGCTTTGTTTGGGTTTATTTATTACCCGCATGGTGTTGAAGTGACAGACAGAAAGGGGCCGTCTTCTGATCTGACATTGTAATGTATCAATTGGTGGTAAATGTGCGCGCATTAGCGTGGGCGCAGGTGTGTGTTTGTTGATGATATGCATTTATGTGCGCACATCCACGGAAATGCATTATGCACCATATTGCATGAGTTTCTCTGTTGCCTGTAAGGGTTTGTTTATGGGCAAAAGTTTACACTAAACTGTACCGAGGAAACTCTTTCATTCATCTTTCAAATTACACGCCACATTTGACCTTCAAAGGAGAAGAAATGGCTGCTTGATTCTGATTAATAGTTGACTTTAAAGCGCTGCATAAAGCCAAACAGTGTTGACATACTGTTCTCACAGCAGCGGGCTCTGAGAAGCTCTCTGGTATGAGCGGGCATACTAAATGCATTCTCACACAGGCAATCCCTATCAGATGCTTTGTAAGCCTGATGAAACCGCGACCTCAGTGAGAGCGTGACTGTGCCGAAAGAGCAAATCCTCGCAGTCTGACCAGAGCATTAACTCAGACCAGCGTGCGGTCTCTCACAAACACCCACACACGAAGACCCCGGTGTTGCATGGTGATCGATAGACATGACGTCAGACCCGCATGCAACTTTTAGGAAATCAAGGAAACATGCTAACATTTCATCCTCTATTTGCCTTCTCCAGGGCCGGCGTTTGCTGCTGTTACTCCAAGGGCGGGGCTTCCCGTGGCTAAAGACGACAGCAGCAATACAGCCATTCTGATTGGCTGCCTGGTGGGCATCATCCTTCTGCTCCTGGCTGTGATAGTTGTCATTCTTTGGAGGCAGTACTGGAAAAAGTTACTGGGAAAGGTGGGTCCAGACTCGGGTCACATGGCATTCCTTTTTAAACTGGCGCTCATGAAACATTTTCTTATTTATCCCAAGTGGTTTATATTCATCCGATCTTGGGTTGTATCCAAAGTCAGTCATTCGTTCACAGTTCCCCTATTCCCTGTTTTGGGAATTTTATGTAGGTTACTGTGTAGTCAGTTAAACTTTCCAACATGACGATGATACAGGACAAAGATACACCGTGGAAGAGATACAGAGGTTAATAATGACTAATGATTAAATGCAGAGTGGTGTATAAACGTGCAGAAAGTGAAAAGGAAACACTCAGTGCATCATGGGAAGCCCCCAGTAACCCAGGTGTGTTGCAGTATAAGTAAGGGAGGGTTTAGGGTCACCACATCCAGCCCATTTTAAAGTATGTGTGCACGAGTATAGTAATACTTCAAATGAGCAGCTCTACAGAAAAGCCAACTCATTATATACTCATAATGAGCAGTGTGGGCTTTTTCTTCTTAAACATAGTCCTGATTTTATTAGCCAAACTTTTGAAACTTTTGTTTTTTCCCACGCTCGTTCCAGCTAAAACATGTTTGTTTACTTTTGCAGAAAGCCTTGAAAACCTCAAAAATTACGATAATTTTCTAGAGAACCGAAAATGGTAAACGGTAATTTTGCTGTTAACAGATTGAAGGGGAACTACTTTCTGCTGAATAAATGGCTCTAAGCGAGAAATGTGATTAGCCTGAGCTGTTCCTTTTACCCAATTTTAAGTGATTGATGGCATCCTGAGATAACAACTGCCAGTCTTTTGGCAGAGACACTCTGCATTTCCATCTGGATGTGTAGTGGGCATCATTTTACATTTATTGCTAATTGTGTAACGATCAGTGCCCGTTTTCACGGTTTGATCACACATCTGCTCCGGAGACTCAGATGGTGCATTTATATTGCCTGAATACTCTGCCCTCCCCAGGCCCAAGGCAGTCTGTCCAGCGATGAGCTGCGGGTTCACCTTTCGGTCCCCTCAGACAACGTGGTCATCAACAACACCCACAGCTACTCGAGTCGCTACCAGCGCATCCACACTTTTCCAGATGACCGAGACCACGACAGAGAGGCAGAAGGGGAGTATCAGGAGCCCAGCGCCCTGCTCCGGCCCCGAGATCACAGAGACAGCACAGGTACCTACTCAGTTATGTAGGATATGGATGGAAATGTTTGATTCATTGAGGGGTTAAAGATTTCTGTTGTAGCTGCTCAATCCAAAGAAATCACTCTTAGTTTTGATTGATGCTAAACATGTGGTGACAAAGATTGATCAGCCACTTGCAGCTGGCTTGGAAACGATGCACTCTTCCACATGTACAGTGTGTAAATTTCTACAATAATGTATGTGGTTTATACGGATTGCTTTGTTGATCATATCAGAAAGCAAACACATTTGGAGACGGGGGGAAAAATGTGGCATGAATGTCAAGAAAACAATAGTTTTACAACACGTTCCACCATGCTAAAGTAAATCAAACTAAACACCCTGCCAGGGAGAGGGCCTCCATGAAGATGCACAGCACAGAGGGGGCACAAAAGAGCTATTGTTCTGGGAAAAGGGAAGAAAAGCAACAAGGGAGGGGGGAAAAGACGAGTAAAGAAATAAAAGGCATTCCTTTGCTTGCATTGTACCGCAGGAGGTCGGCATGCCATCTTTACTTGGCGCCTGTGTGAATTTGAAATAACACGAGTAACAGAAACATTATTTTATCCACTGGTTCTTGTTATGTTTGATTGTTGCCTGAGTTACATTAACTTGCCTGTTTTTGCAATGCACTTTTGTTCTGTGCTCCATGTGCCAGCGCAACCCCACCTCATCCCTTTTATTATGATGGATATGCTAACATTGTCATGCTAATCATTGGTATTTTGTTTTGCTGTGTTTGTACTTTGTGCCACTTTCTGTGCGTTGTACGATCCACTTTGTGGTGCCTGTGTATACCCCACCTCGCCCCGTGCATCCTCTTGTGTGTGTGTGTGTGTGTGTATGTGTGCACTCCCAGCCTTGCTGTTAAACAACCCAGCCCATTACCTGCTCCTACCAGATCACAGAAAAGGCTCGAGAGCATTAGTCGTCCCCAGCTCCACACAGGTTCGGGAAAAGAGCCTCAATGTGCCCCAGGGTAAGAGACCTCAGACTGGGCCAACAGTCAAGAGGGGCCCCTGCTTCATTACCTACCTATCCATCTGTGACTACCTGAGTCGAGACGGCAGATGTGCTGTCGCAGTCGAGACACAAACATTTGTTCCTACATAGAATTAGTGTATTTTGCATGTGTCTGACCTCTCCACTCATTTCTCATTCACTCACCACTCAAATTACTCATTGCTTGTTTGAAGGGATGGTTTGGCTCTTGGGTAATTCTAAAAGTGTTCACTGACTAACAGACTCAGACTTTTTTCTTTTTATAAAGCTTGCAGCGAGCTGAGCCAAGCTGAAAGCATAGCTGTCACACTAGCAGTCATGCTGCTGCTAGATGCACTAAGCAGCATGGCTGTAATGATCAACTGGACAGTCCCCCCCTGTAGTTTGTACCTTTCACTGAGTGACTGAGCAACTCAAAGCTTTTATTTATGAAGAGAAATTAAGTTACTGACCAATTTATTAGGTTTGCACCTTTTTATGCCTTTAGAAGTGCCCTACTGGCACCCAGTGTGGTCTTCTTGCTGTAGCCCATCTGCTTCAAGGTTTAAAATGTTGTGCATTCAGAGATGCTCTTCTCTCTTCATTCTTCATTCAGAGATGCTCCTCGCTTATAACGAGTGGTTATTTGAGTTATTCTTGCCTTCCTATCAGCTTGAAGCAGTCTGGCCAGTCTCCTCTTACCTCTGACTTCAAAAAGGAGTCACTGGATATTTTCTCTGTAAACCCAGAAATGGTTGTGTGTGAAAATCCCAGCAGATCAGCAGCTTCTATAATACTCAGACCAGCCACCAGCATCCGTGTCACATTCAACGTCAGTTAAATCACATTTCTTCCTCATTATGATGCTCGGTTTGAACTTCAGCAGGTCTCTTGACCATCTCTGCATGGCTGAATGCAGTGAGTCACCGGCATGTGATTGATCAAGCGGTGTTGTTTGCTGGTTTGCAAATATTTCTGCTCACTGTTGTTAGTGAGCTTGCATTTTTAACTTCATTTTACAGAAAAAGAAAATACATCAGAGGACAAATGTATACAAGACATAAATCACAAGAAGTATTGTGACAAACTTTATCAGACGAATAATTCTAAGCGTCTTACTTCTGAGTAGGTCACAATTTTTGTTGCTGTGTACTAAGTGGTATTAGAGACAAAATTAGAGAAAATGTGAATTATTATTTTCAAAATTTCAAATGACATTTCTAAATTTAATTACAAATCAATTACTGGTCACAAAAGCAAAGTTTGAATAGAACAATGTGCATTTTTTCTACCTCGCCCACTAGTTTCTGTCTTTCTGTTTTACTACTTGGTGCTTAATTAAATGTCAGCCTACATTGGTCTTCACAATCCACAGCAGAATAAAAATCACAGCATTGTTTTCTTAACTTTACGTCTATCTGTTTTTAATAAATAGAAGCAGCATTATTAAAAACACTGAATTAATAATTAATTACAAGGCTCAGTCCTGGATCGTAATCCTGGCGCCACGTCTGCAGTCGTTCCTGGACTCTTCCACAGTTCCCACCATTGACTTCCACATTTGTGGGTTTGATTGAATCATTAATTATTGGACGGACCGCAATAAAACTAGCCTCGACGGCTAAATGCGGTGATGCCTTCGCTTCACGTCATCTGGTCACAATTTTAATTTGTCTAATAATTTGGTTCATGGCCAAAAATCGGTAAAACTAATCTTGACCAGTCTCGTGTGCACGTTGTGTTTTGCTACCTGTTTAAAATTAACATGTTAGTCCTGCCGCTGTGAGCCTGTTAGCATGCTGCTGTTTGCAATCAATCACAGCTGTACAGAACTGCAACGTGGCTTATTTTAATTTTTACTTAATTGTCATTAATTATTATAAAGTCCAAACTGCTGAATTTAAGCAGTTGTTTAAAACATAATTAATATTCATGGGGCCGTGGGTGCTCAGCTTGAAGCGGACTAAAGTCTCTTATCGTTCCCATTATTATTTTAACAAAAATATAACAACTTAGTATTCAAAGGCCACACTCCCTGCAAGTGTTTGACTTTTATGAACTGTTGAAACCTCATGAGAGGAGTTTGTGTTGAATGTAAAGTTACCCCTTGTTAAATTAAATATTTCAGAGCTGTTTAAATTCTATTAGTAAGCGCAGCAGCACATTTTAATTAGGTTTAAATCTAAGCAGAATAGACCGATGCTGTGCAATACATGAAAGGGTTTTGGGGTTTTTTAAGTAAGAAAGTTTAGCCTTCAGTCAGGAGCGTGTCACTGATTTTGACAGCACCTTCACGCCTTTCACGTCACAGACCTCCGTGATTTATTTCTTATGGGGGTGATTCAGTGTGTCCGCTTAAGCAAAAGTCTCCCCTGCCATCACTGCATTGTGTGAATGAGCATACCAGACACAACCGCAGTGAGAAACGAGCTCACAAATTTGTGATTGCTGATGACTCTTAATAAATTAAGACGATCTAGAGATCCCCGGTGTGCGCTGGAATTTCTGTTGGATGACAGTTTCTGAGTTATTCTTCCTTTAGCTCAGCGTCCAGGCAGATGAATGACTGCACAGCTGTGCGGGCCCATCATTTGCTCATTTACAACGCTGAATTTGTGAGGTCAAAACACCTTTTGTGTGTGATTTCACTCAGTTTGCCTGTTTTACTCTTCTAGTAGATGTGCTGAACGTTATTGAACAAGTCTCAAATGATCCAATCCATCCCTTCACAACAATAATTCCCAAACTGTTTAGAGACAGCTCTGTTTTTAAAATGTATTTGATTACACATTTCTTCTCTCACAGTAGTTTCTCAGTCTCATCCAGCCTCTCTGCATCTTCCTCCTCTCTTCAGCTTGTGGTCTGGACTTTGACATGGAGAAAGGTTTCCCCCCAGCACAGGATGAGCCTCCTCCCTACCCCGGGTCCCCTCCTTACCCTTCTCTCTCTCCGCCCGTGTCTCCCCCGATGCCCCCCAGCGTCCCCCACTATGCCGAGGCAGACATCGTGAGCTTGCAAGGTGTCAGTGGCAACAACACCTACGCTGTTCCGGCCTTGGCCTCTTCAAGCCCCGGGGCTGATGCTGCCCCGCTTCCAGAGCTGCCGCGCCAGTGTCTCATCTTCAAGGAGAAGCTCGGGGAGGGGCAGTTTGGAGAGGTGAGAAATGAGATGAAAAGTAACTCCAGTGGGTAGAAGGGTGAGTGTGCTTTAACAGTGCCTGCCTTTTTCATTTTTTGGGTGAAAGGTACACCTGTGTGAAATCGAGAGCCCTCAGGACCTTCCTACACTGGAGTTCCCCTTCAATGTGAGAAAAGGTCGCCCCCTTCTGGTAGCTGTGAAGATACTGCGCCCAGACGCCTCCAAGAACGCCAGGTCTGTAGCATCATATGTGCCTCAGCCTGGACTCTGGCTTCAGTGTGATTCACAATTGTTCTTTCTGTTATCCCACCCTAACTTGTCTTTCACGCTTCCTCCTGAGGCCCTTGAACCTAATAAGTTTCTTAATTATCAAGGAGTATTTAGTGGTCATTTGAAAACAAATCATTGGATATTCTCAGGTTCTCTGTTTTATTTGAAGTGTTAATCTTTAGTAGAAGTTTGTTGCCATTTTTGTAAAGCAAACCTTGTTTTCATGTACAAATCACTCACAAGCCACTCGCTGGTGACAGCGAGCTGATTACTGCCTCTACAATAAATGCCTGCTTCTCTCTCTGATCTCTGTGGATCAAAAGTTAATTAAGAGAATTCAACTGCTTATTTGATGCCTATCACTGTGCAGACATCTCTCCCTGTCTGTGACCTCTAATGACATGTTTCTGTCTTGGAACTAATTGTAGGTTTTTTTTGGCCATATGTGCACAAACTAGATGAGGTTCCTGGGTGTCTGTAGACTTGTAGGTGTTTGACTCCCTTCACCTGCTGCTTCTTTACTCCGGCTCTCCCCGAGTTTTGCTCTGAGCAGATTAAATCAGCACGTGTGAGCTTATGTTCAGGGAACATCTTCCCACAGATTTATATTTGAGGTTAGTGAGAGCCAGAGCTACACAAACATATTGAGCAGCAAAAACAAATCAATGAAGTGAAAAGTGTGGAAAGCCACAAGGAGCTGCAGGCTGGAGGTGTTGATTATTGACCACAGGGGGTCGGCAACCTCCTCACTTTACCCAGAGTTAACATTAAACATGTTGTTTGATAAATATTTAAGTATGCTTTTTTTTTTTTTACAATAAGCCTGAGAAGGAATTGTTTCTCTTTTTTTTTTATTTTTTATTTTTATCTCTGATGTAACTTCTTCTTCTCACCTCGACAGGAACGACTTCCTGAAAGAGGTGAAGATCCTGTCTCGCTTGAAGGACCCGAACATAATCAGGCTGCTGGGAGTGTGTGTGAGCAGTGATCCGCTCTGCATGGTCACCGAATACATGGAGTGTGGAGACTTGAACCAGTATTTGTCCCAACGAGTGCTTCTGGACAAAACTGGACCTTCACACAATACGCCAACCATCAGGTAGGACATGCGAACAAATGTACACACATACTTAAAAACACACACAGACGCACAGAAAGCAACAGTTTTTATTTTCTTCCATCTGTAATTTCCTCCCTCCAGTTACCCAGCGCTCATTTCCATGGCCAGCCAGATTGCATCAGGAATGAAGTTCCTCTCCTCGCTTAACTTCGTGCACCGAGATCTGGCCACACGTAACTGTCTGGTTGGGGGTGAGAGGGGCGAGAGCGGAGAGGACCAAGGCGGAGAGCGTCACATCAAGATCGCAGACTTCGGCATGAGCAGGAACTTGTACGCTGGAGACTACTACAGGATCCAGGGCAGGGCCGTGCTGCCAATACGCTGGATGGCCTGGGAGTGCATACTCATGGTGAGAGCACAGGAATGTTGTCTTTATATTGGATTAATTAACAAACGTGGAGATGACTGTTCTTTTTATGCAGTTTCTTAGACCACATTTGATTGCAGTGGTTCACAGTTTGACTTGCAGTTATGGGGCTTCAGTTTCCTAATGTTTCCTATATGCATCATACACATGCAGTCGTGTGGCGGCAAGTGAATCATATTAGATTCAGGAATTTTTGAGGCCTTGACATCATCAGTGTACATGGGTTTTTTTCCCCCCTGAATTTATACAATCAAACACATGCAGTGCTACAGTGAGATACATTAAAACTCATATATGGAAACTGATATTTAATTTATTCATCAGAGCGTTCAATATAGATTCAAGAAATTCAAATTTTCTGGCTTTTTGGGTTAAATTAACTTAATGATGATAACAGGCCGGTTTTTCGAGGCAATGAATGATCACAGAAAGGTAGCCGTACAGATGTGCGTGTAGGTCCACCTCCCTTACACGCAGAACAGTGCTTCGCTGTCCACCTTGGGGAAACACCAGTAACAGAGCATAAAGTTTCGCCAAAATAGAAACAGGAAATTACCGGCCAACTGTGAAATGTCTCAAATATCCCGTCAGTAAATTTTAAAGAACAGATCCACAAGCTGAGCATAGATGATACAATGTGATTACTTTTACAGTAATGGAGTTTATGATAACGAAGGTGACTGCGTCGGTGTGTGTTGGTGTCTGATCACAGGGTAAGTTCACCACGGCGAGCGACGTGTGGGCGTTCGGAGTCACTCTGTGGGAGATGCTGAGCGTTTGTCAGGAGCAGCCGTATTCCACCCTCACGGATGAACAAGTCATCGACAATGCTGGCGAGTTCTTCAGAGACCAGGGCAGACAGGTACATCTCAAACGCAAACACACTAAAACGAACTAAAACAGCATCCATCCTTTTTCTTAACTGTTTGTCCCATTCACCATCCCAGCTGGTGAAACCACCTCTTTAACATGTTTTTACTGTTTAGTGATCATATACTGAAATATCACTTTCGAACTGTGAACTTAATCGTGATTTGAGCAGACCTGGGAAAGGAAAAAAAAAAGCACAAACAAACTGCATCAAATGACCGATTTCATGTAAGGTTGCAAACACGGCCACCCTGCAGAGGAAGCTGCACGGGCTGGCTGGACTAAGCCTCAGAGGTAGGAGCTCAGACATCTGGAGGGATCTCAGCGTAGATCTGCTCTGCATGTCAAAAGGAGCTACTTGAGGTGGTTCAGGCATCTGGTTAAGAAGCCTCCTGGGCGCCTCCCTTTAGAGGTTTTTCACGAATGCCCAACTGGGAAGAGACCTTGGGGTAAACCCAGAACCTGCTGGAGAGATTACATATCTTGCCTGACCTGTGGATGCCTTCAGATCTCCCAGGAGGAACTGGAAAGTGAGGCTGGGGAGAAGGTTGCCTGGAATACCCTGCTTAGGATACTGCCATCACAACCTGACTTTGGATAAGTGGATAAGATAATGAAAGGATTGATGGAGGATTTTAAATAAACAAAACATGCGTTTGCTGATGCTACAGCGCTGGCTTTTACAGAACTGAAATTCAGCTTGGATCCTTTTATGATCCAGTGATTTATTAAATAACAGTGGGATGTTTGTTTGTTTATTTTTATTTGTTTCAGAAGTACCGAAAAAAGATTCAGTATCATAGTTGTATGAGAATATTCATCAGATATCCTGTTTGTTCTTCATACAGTTCTTCACTCCCATAAAGACTTGCTTTGATGACCCTCTTCGCTCTCACTAACTTCTGTCACTTTGTTCTGAAACGTGACAGAAACCACTCAGTTCAGAAAAGAGGAACAGGGGTTACCCAAGAGAGGGGATGGGTTAAATAGTGCTCACTTTGTGCTTTTGTTGGATTTTTTTATAATATATAAAGTTTCCCCAGTAACCGTTCTGCCTCGGCCTGCACATTTGGAAAAATATAAAGATATGAGTCTGCTGTGTGCTGATTTTTGTTGTTCTATTATTTTTTTCAATATTTGATTAATCATACAAGACTTTATCAGTTCCGTCTCTTTTCTTGAATTCTTCCACATATTTCCACTTTAGCTTATTTAATTTTTGTGTAAAGTGATTTGAAAGTATAAACTCGTCCGATATCTGGCGCCCCCTAGTGGTCGTTCATTGGGCCAAATCTTTTCCTTGAGTTTAAAAGGGTAAAACTGCATGCACTGGTGAAGTTAAACTACACTTTTATGATTCACATAATTCCTAAACAAGTAAAAAAAAATCCACAGGCTAAAAATATAAATTGCACTCCAGATTAAATCAAAATAAGAGAAAACTCATAACTTTTGCATATGTTTAAAACAGGGGATTTTTGTACCGTGTGGAAACGATATACTATATAACAAAGCAATGCCTCTGATCTCTAATCTCTTCCTGCACCTTTCTCCCTCTCCCTCTCTCCCACAGGTGTATCTGAGCAGGCCGGCCGTGTGTCCTCAGGGTCTCTACGAGCTCATGTTGAGCTGCTGGAACAGAGACTGCAAGGTCCGCCCATCTTTCGCTTACATCCACTCCTTTCTTACGGAGGACGCCATGAACATGGTGTAAAGTAAAGCAGAGGAGCAGAATAAGAAGAAAAGGCTTGTGCGTTCATGCATACTTCCCACAGTGGGAAGACGTGGTGGTGGCTACACATATGGGGCAGACGAAAAGGGAGACCGGGTTGCTCGCTTTTATATTTTGTACTTTTTGGGTGGATGGGGCTGAGAGACCGCTGGTTCGGTTTTAATTCCACATCAGATCCCAAAGACAAAGCTAACTTCCTCTTAACATAGTTTAAGCTACATTTCTCGCGGGTGGTGGTGCTGGTACTGGTGGTGGGTGCGGTCTGCATAGGATCTAATTTCTTCATGGAGGGTTTCTGTGACTGGTGATTATGTGCTGTAGAGTTAAGGAGCTCAGTTACAGGAAACACTCTGTAAACGTAGGAAATCAGGAGCAGTTATGAAGTTTAATGATTGTGTTTTTTTCAGCATCTCCACACAGGATGACAGGTGTGGGTCACATGACCCGCAAAGTTTTAAGAGAATGCCTCATGTCTAGAGAAGAAACACACACAAACACACACACACAGACAGGTATTGTGTCAGTACTTATAGTATGTATAAATTACTGCACACAGACATGGCTGAGCTAGAACCTCAGTGATGGATTTCATTTTTATCTCAGCTCCTTATCCGTACGTAGCGACCCACATCCAGAGTTGTCAGTTTTAGTGGACTAATGTGAAATGATGTGGACCAGACAACAGCAGCCCTATTTCTGCAATGTGATCAAGTCAACACCAACAACGTAGTCAAAAACCCCAAAAATAAATATTTGAACTTCATCTTTGAACCACAGTTTAAATAGAAAAAACAAAACAGGTTGTATGAACTTCTCAAACCTGAGAAAAAGGTGCAGAAGAGGAGACTCTGCTACACCTTTGCTGCTCCCACAAACTGGAACAGCTTTTCCAAGCAGATGTAACACCAGCCAGGCGGTGGACGGGACTTCAGATGCGCCTGCTCGGGTGTTTTGGCTGTGACTCATCAAAAAGGAAAGACTTTTTTTTTTTTTTTAAATTCCAAAAACCAGCTGCACTTTAAACCCTCACGAATCCCCGGCTGTGATGAAACTCATCTCTGTGATGATTCCTTTTGATGTGGATTCTAATGCTTTTTTTTTTTTTCCAAAGTGAGATCGAAGCGAATCACAGAAGCAGGTCAAACATGCTTTTTTTAAAATCCTCTCCAACAGAGCGTCGCCAAACCATTAGATGTAAAATATTTTATTTTTTAAATGGAATGGCATCCTCAGTTACTTCAATTTGAAATGTGTGACAACCTTCTGTTCATTTTTTTTTTTTTTTTTAATGCGCTGACATGTTTAGTCGTCCAGTAATCTGTTTCCATTCATCCAAATGTATCACTGTGTCGTTGTTCAGAAGGATATTATGTGTCTTATCCGATATTAAGCGGGTCATTCCATGGAAAGTAATCAGTGCCTCCCACCTGAGCCCATCAGAACCAGCAGATATTTTTGTACAAAAAATGTGGCATGCATGCTTATCCTGTACATACTTCATACTATGAATATTTTCCAAATAATAGGAACTCAAAGTACATGGGCGAGGGTTCAGATGTTACACTTTTTAATTTAAATTATCGTTTTAGCATTTTCGAGACGTGGAAATGTTAAAAGTGCAGGGAATAGTTACAAAACGCTGTCAAACCTGAAAAAAATTGATTCCAACTGTCAAAATCTGAGGTAAAAAACTTGGATCGAGTAAAAGGAACATGTTGTCCTGCGCCAAAACAAAACTGCCACAAGCTGAGCAGACAATGAAGCAACAGCAAAGAAAAAAGGAAATCTTTCATCTGTTATAACCACATGCTTATATGAGCCTTGAAACATTACCCAGAATGCACTTTTTTTCCCCCTCCTGTGAGCAAATCAGATCCAGGCATCCAGGCTGCTTGTCATTATTTCTGTTTCTCTATAGCATACAGATTATGAGTGTAGTTTTGCTTTGGAGCTACGATTGATCCAGCGCCCCTATAGTCAACTTGACTGAGCAGGCAACTCGTGTACCAAAAACTCGAGTCCTCACCAGTGTCAATTCCAACCTGCGTTTCATTCTACCTTCACTCACTCACACGTTCTTATTTAATAAATACAAAAAGTTAAACTAAATTAAAAATAAAAACATTTATCTTCTACCACTTGTTCAATTGAGGGTCGATATAGGGTAAAAGTAGGGTACACCCTGGACGGATTGCCAGTCTGTTGCAGGGCTAACAGAGAGACAACCATTCGTGCTCAAATTCGCACCTATTGTCAATTCAGGCTTACCCAAACCCACGCTAGTCTTTGAACTGCCGGAGAAAACCAGAGAGGGGAGAGAACACGCAAACTCTGCACAAGGTTCATCTTAAAATTAGTTATAGAAAAAGTTTGCTAAGTAAATACGAGGTATTGGCTCCAGATTGTGACGGTGGGGGTTTATTAATAACAATTTAATATTTACATCACAACTAAAATATGTTTTTCACCCATTTCATCTGTCTCTTTTACTTAAGTGGCTAAAAAAAATTAGAAAAAAGAACAAATAAAATAAGCACCGAGTTTTAACCAACTCTTAAAATATTTATGGTATGAATGTAATATTTTGCATGCCTTTGTTAAATAGAATTATTGTACCAAAAATATATTGATTCAGAGGGGTCAGGTGGAAACTTTTTATATATATATATAGCTATATAGATTTGGCTGACTTTATATTGAATGACCCAGTCTGACTGCGGTAGAGTCAGTGCATCTACCTAACCGACAGAGCAGCACTGTAAATCAGTCCTGATCAACATCATGAAGTAACAAATTCACCGGTGGTGAATGGTTGTGCCATACGAGTCCTTTTTGATACACTGTAGTTTAACTAAACCCATATTTTTTTATATATACTATACGTACTTAGGCTCTCCTTGTTGTCCGATTTTTGTCCCGTTCTGTCTGAAGCTGAAAAATCACAGTATGTACATATTTTAAGGACAGAATTACAATTTCATTTAATATATAAACTCTGTCCCAACTGGGGGTCTTCTGTGTTTGTGTAGAACGCTTGCTACGTTGATGCTATTGTAATTCACTGTGTTGTCTATTTTTGTAGATGTTTTAATAAAGTTAATCTTTTCAAAATCAGTGTGTGCTTGTTATTAATTACATCTGTCAAAAAAAAATCAAAAGTTTCATCGATTGAAATATATTTTATTATAAGTCTAACATAGATGATGTTTAATATTTGATACAAGCAGCCAACTTTCACACTATATCAACAAAGGCTGAAAATGCAACATTTAAAAAAAAAAAAGAAGAAGAAGAAAGTATTAGTCACTAGGAAGCACCAAAGGAGACAGGCGGATTCTGGCTTTCGTCCTCAAAAGTGACAAACTGGGCTAAGACCAGTTTGATATGAGGAACTGTTCCCTGATGAGTTTAACTAGTCTTAAACTGATGCCTGAGGAGTTTAACCAGGCACTTGGTTGCAAAATGCAGAGTGATTCTTAAAAAAACAAACAAAAAAAAAAACTAGGGAAAAAAATTGCACTACTTTAACGCAGGAAAAAGACAAGGCGACTAAACTCAAGGCAGCATGCATAACAAAGCAGTAGTACTTCGTGATGGTCCTTCTTTACTTATGACAGCTGTATAAAAAGGCAGTTACAGTAAAGAAGAAAAAAGGTTCAACATACTTTCATTGGCTTTAACAGGAAACCTAACCAAACCATAAGTTGTTCCAACCACCCACTTCCTCCCTCCTCCTTTCAAGACACAAAGAAACTCCTCCCACTTGCAGTTCCAGCCGATAACATTGTTGCCAACAATGTAATCCATTATTACAAAGAGTCTCACGTATGTCTTTTTGCAATGCACTAGTAGACAAAGAAGAGACATTCAATCTTTTGTGATTAGTACATAAAAATATTAACAACATTTCAACACACAAAACTCTGAGGTGATTTGATAAACGCTCTCAGCAAGATTTCAGTCAGTGGTCTAAATGTAGAATGTACATTGCGCTAACGTTTGTTTTTTAGGGTCTGACTTTGTCAGAACCTCCTTCTCTCGTGCTCAGAGCCTCCAGGTGAATGAACAGATTTAATAAAGGGGTGTGTAGCAGTGGCAGAAGTGTAGCAGCATACTCGGTTGGGCTCCCTGAAAGTGTATGTTTTGCATTATTTGATTAATTGAAAGGCACAGAAAGAAAATAGAATAAGGCTATAAGCTTTTCCTACAGTCTCAGATTAAAAAGTAAAAAAAACAAACAAACATAATAGTTCATTGACCTAGTCCCTAAAAACTGGGCTTCTACGTATTAGCTGAGGCTTTTGTCAGCCAAAGACAGAAGTTGTGCAGTCGCTGTATCATGTGAGGCTGGTTGCAATGTGACCTGCAGCATGAAGCACAGCAGCACAGCTCAGGGACATGAAAAGAAAACCACACAACAGGGGAAGAAAAACCTAGCCTTGTTTAGACTGGGGAAAGGACATGAGTGAAAAGCATGCATTCACACAGACAATGAGAAAGGTTTACAGTGTTTACAAGTCAGTACAGTTGTTACAGGTACGAGGAGATGTGGAGCTCTTTGTCTAAATATTGTTGACACCTCTCCTGATTACTCTTCTCAATGGGCCCGGGTGGTTTTCCCTGCAGCCTGCGAGGTCAAAAACACAAATACGAATGAAATAACACGTGTACTTGTTTTGAAGTCTGTTACAAAGCCTATTTGCCTTTCATGCAAACTGCACCTGGGAGATGTCGACTCCAGTGAGTTTCTCTACAGCATTTGGCAGCTTGGTCATGATGTCCAGCACTTCTCCAGCAAGTTTGGAGGCTCCTACATCTGCGCCACCGCTGGACACCATGGTAATCTTCTGTGTCGCTGACAGTGGCTTGCTGATTTCCTCTGCCATCTGCAGAACAAGAAAGATCAGAATTGGTACACTGAAGGAGCGTGATATGCTTGCACCTTCAAAGTGTGCCATCCGTGAGCTAAGAAGCATGCGAGTCAGCTAATTCTTCTGAAAACTGAGCAGAGAATCACAATTTCAAAGAAATCTCAAAGGTTTAAAGCAACAATGTATCAAGCTTTGGGATATAAAGGTATATAATTAATATACCTTTTATAAATAACAGTTGAGCTGTGATTACTGAAATATGGTTAAAAAATATTTTAAAATCTTAAAGAGGCCTTGGAGTTGGAAAATGTAAAAAAAAAAAAGAAAAGGAAAAAAAAAACTTTTTATGCAAAGAGAAGTAAAATAAAATCAACATTAAGGACTAGCGCTGATGAAAATGGGTTGAAAGGCTAATATAAAAACCAATATTCATGATATTTTCATCCATCAGAGTCGAACTGACCAATGGCAGTTTCTCCAGCAGCATGTCCACCATGGCTCCTTCTTTGTACTGCTTGAAGGCCTCTGCTTTCTTGTTCATCTGCTCGGCCTCAGCACGGCCCTTAGCCTCCACGGCAAAAGCCTCTGCCTCACCCTTTATCTGCATGACAACACACAGAGCAGAAAAGAGTGACGATGGCAGTAGTCACATGAAGCAGGAGAGAAAGGAATGACACATTATATGATGCAAAGTCACAGGAAAGGTGACGAGAAAATTAACAGTAGGAAAAAACTGTGACAGAAAACGGGCGGTTCTCACTCTGATGGACTCTGCCTCAGCCTCAGCTTCCATGATGAGCTGCAGACTGCAGTAGAAAGGAAAAAAAAGAATGAATTTTTTTGTTGTTCAGTTCAAACTATACAGAAGCAATATTATGATTTAGTGCTCACCGCTGGGCCGCTGCCAACTTCTCCAGTCGGTATTTCTCAGCTTCTGCAGGTTTCTTAACCTTGGCCTCCAGCTCCTTCTCCTTGCGTGTGATCTCCTGCTCCTGCAGAGTAATCTGCTGTGTACGCTCCACCACTTGAATCTGCATCTTCTCCTCTTCGATGCGCTGCTTGGTCTTGGCCACCTGAAATGGAAATTCCAACAATTCTCAGCTTTCCATCAATAAAAACACAACATTTTGGACTTGGCCAGGCATTATGATGAGCGTACCTGAAGCTGATAGGCCATTTCTGACTCGGCCTTCTTGGCATTGACCTCAATGTCATAAGCCGCTTTCTTCAGCTCAAAGTCTCGCTGGGCTTTCGCCATTTCAATCTCATTCTTGTACTGAGCAGACACCTTCTCCTGCATTGCGTGTGCCTCCTGAAAATGAACAGTACAGGAGAGAAAGACAAATTTGGTACTGCTCATCAGCATTATCTTG